TTTGTACTTAACTAGATGTTTAATGTTAGAAACGTATGTTGTATATATACAACTTTTTAAAAAGGTGTATTTTACACATGACAGATGAACAACTTTATATATATATTTTTTCTATATCAGGGCTATTTTCTTAGGAAAGATCCCTAGAATTAAAATTACTGAATAAGTGGTTATGAACACTTTAATAAATCTTATTGCTGAATTGCTTTCTTATAATAATGTCAATTCATTCTCATGTCAGCCATGTTTCTCCTGTCTGGTCTCATTTAGAAAAATTTTTACTAGTTTGATAAACACAACATACCAACTCATTGCTTAATATATATCACTGTGATTATAAGGAGGTTGAAAGTTTTACATGGGTTTTTAAACTATTTATAATTCTATTATCTGTCAAGTGTCTAATTATATCCTTTACTTAATTATCGCCCTTAAAATACTTTTGAGCTCTATTTGCACAGGCCTTTAGGTAGAAAAATACTATATATGATAATATAGAGAATATATTATTAAAGCCATTATATAGTTTCTGTGATTGTGCTGCCCAGTGTTTTGTTTGCTGGATTTTAAAATCAATTGATCAGATTAAATAAGTAGGGAGCATAAGCTGACGTACTATTTTCACACCTCTCCTGATCTTTTCCAGGTTCATAGATTAGTAAAGAATACAAATAATTGTCCCAGCTTTGCTTGTGCCCTACAAGAAATGGACATAGCAATGCTATGAACAACTGCCATGAGCTGATGGTGATGGGGAACTTTGGAAGGCAGGGAGGCTGGTGAATATGAAAATCCAGCTATTCTCAGGATGAATTAATTCTAATCTTTTTAGACTAGTATTTCATAGTTCAGATTTTCTCTTCAGGTATGATACAGGAACTCCTTCAATATCATGAAAGTCTTCTACAATTCCAGAGAAAACAAAAAAGGAACCATAGAAAAAAAATAAGTATAATAAAGTAAGAATCAAAATCACCAGGCAACTATAGATCAGAGATATTCTTTAGGGGAGGAGGAGGGGGAAGGACCAGGATAGGGTTGGGAAGAGCACAAGGGACTATGGTGATGGTGCAGGGTGAACTGGTGGTGGGAATTTCACGGGGAAACCATGCATTGTTCAAACATGAAAGATGATGTCATGAATATATTTAAATTTTTTAAGTGAAAAAAAAAAAAGCCTTCTACAGTTCTACAGAAGAGCTACAAAACATTGGCCTTGAAAACCCCCCAGATCTTCAAAGACAAAATAAAACGAAATTAAAAAAAAAAAATGAAGTGAGAGAAAATCAGAAGTTTGGATTTTTTACATTTAGATGTGTGCAATAAAAGAGAAACTTAGTGTAATCACAATGAAAAAGTAAATTTAATCCTGGTTACATAAAACAATGTGCAAAAAGATCCAAATCTTTCCTTTTCTTCTTTTTATATGCTTAGAAGTTACTGCATCAGTAAATGTGTGCATAATTCTTACTATGTTTATGAATTCATGTAAATCAATATTAGCTGAACCATATGGTGACAACTCCTTTGAGCTACCTTTAATTTTGTTTAAACAATTATTCACAACTTAGTAACACATTGCCGGTTTTTTAAAAAAGGAGTTTCATTGTCTTTCTGTTTTATATTGCCTTGATCCTCCATCACCTTTTAGAGAACAATGAAAGTCTTTCTCTTAAGAAACTAGGTGGGATTAATGTACGAATCATCTTTTTATGCATATGTTTTTAAAATCAGAGATAGGTTGAAGATAATGCTTCATCATTTAACTTAGGTAATTTCTGGTAAGGATGTTACTAAGTCAATCATGGCAGGAAAGATGGTCATTAAGGGTACAGCTCTGAGCCTCCCTGGTTGCACAAGGGGTTAAAGTGTAGCACTATGAAGCAATCCACAGCTACCACAGTATGAGTCTGATCACCAGCCAGGGAGCTGCCCCACATGGCACAGCATTCCTCTCCTGCTCCCCTCTATAGTGTGTTTCAGCCGATCAGTCTGTTCTGTTCCCCACTCTGTTTCTAGTGAATCCTCTCAGCTCCTGCACCTGTGGCCTATGCCCCAGTTCTTGTATGCATAAATAAATAATCTTTAAAATTTTTTAAATAAAATAAAAAATAAAGGGCACAACTTTGGGAAGTAAATATCCACAAATTGTCTCACATTCGTGGGCACTTTTCCAGGCATTTTTTTTTATTTCATTGAAGCTTTTTAGTATTCCTAATTTTAAAAGAAGTGAGAAAAAATGCACAGGCCTTTTAAAAATATTAAACATCAAAGAAACATAGGTAAAGTACTGTATTGGATGAATTTCCACACCTCCATGTTAAGACTCCAGAGGCTCTTACCAATGTACTTCTTCAATAGGAAACAATAAAATAGCTGACTAGACACACATAAAGAGGTCAATCGAAAGCAGGGATTTGGTATCTTTGATACTAAACAGAATATCTCAAATTTCCCAGTTCCAAATAAGGTTTAGTTATTAAAATGATAAGAAATCTTGTACTGGAAGAACCATACATACTGTTATGTATGTAACATAACATACATAAACTCTTATACTTGTCTCATTTCAGAACCCCTGATGGAGCAACTATTAGGCACCATGTTTATCATTTTCTATTGTTAATTGTTTAATTGAAGGCTTCCATGTGAATCAAACCTGCCAGCAGAAGGGCTTTACATTTTCTTAGCTGGGTTTCCTTCCAAAGCACATATAATTGTACGTTTCAAACACAGAGCCTGCCAAATACTTTGGCTTGAGGAGAGTCAGAGGTCTTATAATTAAACCTACTACTATTCACTGCTGCCAGTAGAAAGCTAGTTAGAAATTTAAATCATGATTTTCCTTATAGTTTTACCTCACTTCTTGCTTTCTTTGGGTTTTTTTGTTTAGTTTAGTTTTGTTTTAGCAGAGCAAAGAGCTAAATCCAATTTGTGTGGGTCTTTGTAAATTGATGAACCGCAATTACAATGAGTAAAGAATGATACTAAAGATTGCTCTTGTTTGTCAGGAAGTTTGAAATAATGTTGTGCATCCAGTACTATACCAGGCACCATCTGTACTGAATAGATGGCCATAGAGTATCAATGTGAATAGATACTCATGTGGGTCTGATGATAGTCATACTGCAGATGAAAAATAACTGGGTATGGGAGGTACAAAGTGTGTGTTTGAGTGCGTGTGTATGAACATTTATAGAAATCTGAAAATTGAAAACTGCCACCATTTAATTACTTACTAGTCATTTGTTTCGTGTGTGCACATGCTCTCTTTCAAAATGGGAACATTTATTGTGGGCAACAAAAAATGACGGAAGATATAAAGAACCTCATACACTAAAAGCTTATAACAGAACATCCTTCCACTTCAAACTTACCAGACACTTTAGTAAAGGAAGAAATGTTAGAAAAAGAAGATTTAGATGGGAATTACAGACTCCTAAAGTCAGAGGAGCATTTGAAACAATGCTAAAACATAAAGCTCCCTTAAAGAAACCAAAACCACATTTCCATTAGTAGTTCACCTTTTCATTTATAAAACAATTCTTCAAAAAGTGTACAACATGAACTCAGTGTCTGGCACTGCAGAGTAGAAGGCAGAAATAGTCTATTCTCTCTAGAGCAGAGAATTCTAGAACTTCTAGAAATAGCATGGAACTGAAGAAAAGGTAGCAGACATCAAAAAACCTTTCTGATGTTAAAATAGACTAAACTAAATGGAAATTATAAGCATATATATATATATATATGTCATAAATACATACACATTTACACATTTTATATTTTTCATCATCCATCTGCCTAACCATGCTTATTTAAAAAGAAATGATGCAGAGAAAGAAAGGGGGAGGGAGAAAGGGGCGAAGGGAGGAAAATAATGGCAACTTAACATAGATCGGGCTGAAAGGGATAATGCTAAAGTATCAGGACATAATGCCACTAATATGTGGGATATGGACAAACCAATTTTGGGGATCAGATCAGATAAAGACAAGCTTAACAACTAACCTTTGAAAACTGACTACAGTACTGAAGCATGGGGTGAGGAGATGGATGGTAAGAACAAAGAGGGAAGGAGCACAGTTGATTATGGTGGTAGACTGTGGGTGAGGTGATGGTAGAAACACTATGGTGGTAGTTCCTACTAGGGGTACTGAAATACTACCTCAATTAAAAATAACTTAATTTAGGCCCTCCTTGGTGGCACAGCGGGTTAAAGCACAGCACTAAGAAGCTAAAGCCACTTCCGCATGAGTTCGATCCCCGCCTGCCCCACAGGTGACTACATGGAGTGGCAGACCTCTCCTGAAGTGTATTTTGTCAGTTGGCCTGTTCCCCACTCTGTCTCTGGTGAAGCCCCTTACCGCCCCTGAACCTCTGGCCTATACCCCAGTTCTGTATTCATCCATACATAAATAAATCTTTAAAAAAATTTAATTTTAAAATCAACTTAGATTGTCATTTAAAAAATCAAGGACAACTGACAGGCATCCTACAAAATCCCTTTTAGACTGAAATGAAGAAGGGAGACTTCACTGGGAGAAAAGAAAGAATTTTTTCTTATCATTTCACAAGGTTCTAAATCATATGGGAATAACTCCTTATGACAAATTTGCATTGTTTGGATTCCAGAATGATTGTTTTATTATAATACACAGTATCCTCTACTACTGGGATTAATAGGAGGGAATCAGTGGTTTTGCATAAATAATAAAAGCATGTATGATTATAGTAAAAGACTTAAAAATTACAGTTCTGGGTAATTTGATGTTCTTGATTTTCAACCAAAGTTTTTAACCCACCACCAGTTTTCAAATTATTACCAATATCCACTTTGAAATCTGTAAGAAAGCTCTGGATGTCGCTGTTAATTTATTGGCAGACAATTTGTGCTTCATCAAGAATAAATACAATGGTTTCAGTTGTGGGAATAATCAATTACAAAAAAAAATGTGAATATGCAGCTACTATATTATGGATATGTTTGCTTTTACTTCCAGGAACCCATGAATGTCAGCCTTATATCTGGGCACTACTAGCCTTCTTGGGTTTAGCTCTGACTATATCATTGATCTTCAATATTTCCCACTATAAGGAAAAGCATAAAAAAGGTAAGACATTTTGAGAAATAACCATATGGTAACTTCTTCAATGAAGACTTAGTCATCACTTCACTATAGAAGACAGTTAAATGAACTGTTATTCAATAAGGTATTTTTAATTTGTAGAAATCTCCTTGGTACTTTTTTACTCTAAGAGTTCTCTTAATTTAATAATGCAATTATATTAAAAATGTAAACATTCTGGACCCTTTCTGGGGGTGCAATGGGTTAAAGCACAGCACTAAGAAGCTAAAGCCACTTCAGCATGAGTTCGATTCCTGCCCTGGAGGTGATCCACATGGTGCGGCAGACCTCTCCTCCTAACCCGCCCCCTGCTCCCCTCAGCAGTGTGCTTTATTGTTTTGCCTGTTCTGTTCCTCACTCTGTCTCTGGTAATTCCTCTCACCACCCCTGTACCTCTGGCCTGTACCCCAGTTCTGTATGCACAAATAAATAAATCTTTTTTTTAAAATGTAAACATTCCAATTCTTAGTTTTACCTCAGCCTTTAGTTATAGAGTAGGAAGGGATAATCTGATAAAATATTATTTCTCCTCCTTCAACTGAAAAATCGGTAAAACTGTAGTTTATTCTGAAGCAGCCATAAAGGTTGTCTCTGATTTTTGATGAGAAAATGAAGGTGAGCTCTTTAAAGATTCTACTCAACCTTGCTCAAACTTATCACTACCAGTCATGGTCTCTAATGTGTAATAGGCCCAGTTGGGATCAGAAGGTAACTGGAAAAGCAATAGACTGAACTATGGTTTGAACCAACATTCCCAGGATCTAGAAGCAGAGGTCAGGAGGCTCTGCTGTTGTCTGCTTTTCTTTTCCAAGAGCTAGTTTTAACCATGTGACTTTCACCCTCATGTATAGCATTGAAATGGTGTGATGCCCCAATAGCAAAACCTTTGTCCACTGTAGGCATTCAACATATGCATATTGAATACATGGATGGATGGATGGATGGATGCAAAAATGAAAAATGAACTATTTCTGGAAAAGATCACAATATTTTAGAATCAAAAACCATTTGGGGAAGAATATTTAAGTGAAAGGAAATGGATAGAAAACATAAATATGTTTTCTCTTAACAAATAAAGTTAACAGACACTTGTGTCCAAGAAAAACTGTATGAAGCTAGTTTAGAACAATGATGAGGTCCCAGGAAGAGTCCTTGGTCCTCTTGGGAGTGTTTTCTTAAATGTTGGAAATGTTTATGTAAAATATGAATAATGCACTATTGTTGTGCAGGTTTGAAAATAAGGATGAGAGGCACTAGCAAATGAAGCAGTCTAGTTGAGGTCACAGCTATTCAATAGCAATACCAAGGACAAGTGCCAATTTTCTAATTCTCTGTCCAAAACAGTTTCTACCAGTACAAGCTGTTGTTAAATCACTGACTAACTGTCTTCTGCCAGAAATACCATACTCTTTTAGGATCTCTGTCCTGTCATTTCTATGCTTAAGATGAAATTCCTGGCAGGCAATGCTTTCTCATTAGCAATCATTCTGTAATTATTTTTTAAATAAAATCTTTTATACCAGCTTTATAAATCAGATACATGAGTGCCCCACTATCAGACATCTTCTAAAGTTTCCTTCCTTTAGAGAAAAGACTGAATTCAATAGAACTTTTCCTTATAAAATGTCTAAAATTGACTACATTTTAATTTCATTAACATATTCTATGAATGCAGATAATATTGTCACTTGAAGTAGAAAAGATGAATTAAGAACTAGAGAGCTGAAATAATTTAAGGTGGAGACGAGGATAAGAATAATCACCTAAACCAGAGCTTTACTCTCCTTTTGATTCTAGGAGTAATTCTCTGCAGTTTTGTGTGGGGAACAAGAGGATCGTATAAATCAAATGCATTATTTATCCATATTCATATCATTTTGCACCACATAAATGACTTTGGGAGTTGTTTGCTTATAATGATTAGCTTTTCACTGCTGAGTGACAGCAGCAGAACTAAATAATAGCAGAATTCATTTTTTTCCCCTTTTACTTGCATAAACCCTTACCACTTCAGGTAATTTAGGCCATAATTGGTAATTTATTATAATAAAGTTTACATGACTCTACCTAAGATTAGTATGGTGGGAAATAGCATTCGTTTAAAATAGAAATAATAAATTATATTTATTGATGTGTTTAGGAAACAATTTCATTTCCCTTGATTTTTCTTAATGACATGATACGAAGTCATCCTGGCGTCAATTAACTCTCGCATCTGATGTTGTTATAGGAGATTTTGTACAAGTAGCAGAATTTTTCTGGTTTTCAGTTTTCTTATCTGCAAAATGTAGAAAATACCATGTAGACCACTGGATTCTGGTGGGAATTATCTAGATGCCTTAACACAGTGCAGGCACCCAGTAGGTTGGTCCTGGGTGGGGGATGGGGAAACGCCACTCCCAGTGGCCAGATGCTTCTTTCCACCAAGATTTGTTAAGGATTTGCCATGGTTATATGTCCTCCCATTTCAGGGAACATTAGCAACTTGGCTTCTCCACTGCTCTCACTGCTCTCATCATCCCTACACTCTCTGTGTCTTTCTGGCTTCTCTATACCACTTCCTGTCTCCATTTCTGTATCATTTAATACATCGGTGCCACAACCTGACTTTTAGTAACAATTGTTGTGTTCACTTAAGTCACATACATAACTTCATTTAGAGTTTTCTGTAGAATGGAATATGTTTCAAATATTAGTTTATCACAAATTATTTTTTAAGGATTTATTTTTTTCATACAGACCTGGGGTACAGACCAGAGGTGCAGGGGTGGTGAGAGGATTCACCAGAGTCAGAGCGGGGAGCAGAACAGGCAGATCGATGAAGTACACTGCTGAGGGGTATAGCAGGTGGGTCAAGAGAGGTCTACCACACCATGTCGGTCACCTCTGGGGCAGGATCAAACTCACACTGAGGAGGCTGCAGCAAGCTGCAGTACTGCACTCTAACCCCCTGCACCACCAGGAGGGTCCTCACAAATTATTTTATGTAGCACGTGTCCTTTGGTAGAGCACACAGCCCTGAGGCTTGCCCTTCATACGTACGTAAGGTAAGCTGTGGAGCAGAGCTCATTAGTGCCCAAAGAATGTCCTTTGCTCTCCCCCAATTTCCCTTTTCTCTCTGCAACTCTTTCCCAATTGCCCCCACTTCTGATATCTTTCCCACCCATTAGCAATGACCACCTTCCTTTCTATCTTACATGAACAAATAACACTATCTTTATTTGTCACCTGGAGATTCCAGGCAGATATGGGATTAATCCTGCTAACTGAGATCCCTTTACAGTTCCCCAAACATGCTTCCCTGCGTCATTTTGCCTGACAGGCTGGGAGAGATTCCATCCTGTTAACTAGGATTTCTGCCACTTGGTCCATGAACGTGATGTTCCCTTATCTGGCCCCATGTAACTTTTCATGTTTGCATCATTGTGGTATTTTTTGTAACTTAGAGACCTGCAAGATATAATTCCGCCTTAGGGAGCAGTCAGTGAGTAAGTTTTGCTATGTATTAAGTAGCTTACAAAAGAAAATCTCTATCCCAACAACAATACAATATCTACACAGTCAATCAGTTAGATAAGATAAGCCTCTTCTCATACACGCTGCAGCTATGAGAGGTAGAGCTTTGAAATGGTGTTCTCCTTTCCCTCTGAAATAAACCTTTCATATTTTATGTGATTCTTTGTACAAATCTGTTCTTTGGGAGGATTATATTTATTTCTTCTCTGATAGAAATACATTAGCTTTTTCTTCCCTTTAAACAAACCAAATGGTCTTTAGCCAACCATCCTTCTCTACTTTGAGGATATAAGCAAGTGCAGTTTGCCCAAGCACCAAAGTCCTGTCAGTACATCTCCTATTCATTAGAAAATTATAGCATATTTTCCACATTTTTACATTAAACATGTATCAGCAAACTTTTACAAAGCCATATACTGTTGTTTCTTGTTGCTGTGTACTGCTCGTGGAAGGGAGAGCGCTACTAAGGGGAAAACATAAAAGCAAATGTTTACTCACACCCTCTCAACCATGAACCTGACCACAAGTGCTTGTATCTGAATTATGATAACTCCCCAGCTCTGTTCACAGTCTTGCAAGCACAAGTGCTTCAGAGCAAAATAAAAACTGCTTCTTTTATTTTACTAAATATCAGTGAAACAATCAGCTTTAAATCATGCCATTTATTTTTAAATAAACAACAAGCCTTCATGACAGAGCGAGTTCTTTAGGACTTTGCTTGCTGTTCTTTGTCTTTCGCTGTAACCTCTAAACTTCTGATTACTACTCCCCAGTTGAAGAGATCCTATTCAATCACACTACCTATAGGATTTAAAACTAAAACCACAAATCACTGATGTTTTAGCTCCAGATTACACATTAAAATTCAAAAGAAGCATGCACTGTGGCACCCTTGAATTTTATAAGGCTGCTTTCAGTTGCTTCTTGAATCTGGTTGGTCTTGACGCATAATGTCCTTTCCCCATTACATATTTTCTTTGTTATGTTGTTTTGGCTCTTTCCTTCCAACAAAGCATCACATTACTATATTATAATCTGTAGAACTGCTTGTATTTTCTTTTTTACCTCACAACTTCATGATCTAATTTTTTGGTTTTGTTTTTCTATGATGAAAATATACCTAACGATATTTTCCCTGTATGTAGTTATCCTGTTGCACATTACATCAGTATACCTTACAGACACTAACGTTCATCTCCACAGGTCGCCAAGTAGAAAATCATATTATCATTTTATATTAGTTTATTTAGGGAAATATTTATTATTAAATTAATGACATGCTATTATTTTATATCCTTGTTTTATTAATAATATAAGTTTTTTATTAATAAGTTTTCTCCCCTCAGGGGGAAATGTTTCTGCGTTTAGCCTACTTTTTCTTACTTTTTTTAAATAATACTGTTCTTTATTTTTGTTTACAAATTCTTTTATTTTTTATCATTTCTTTCAAGTCAGTGATCAACTGGTGACAATCCTGGTCCAAAATTAGTAGTTCCATTCCAAATCAAGTTTTCCTTGTAAATTTTTAACTTTGAAATAGCATGCTAATTCTATCAGCTTGTTTTTGGCTAATTCATTTAATGAAGAAACTTCCCAATTTAAATCAGCACAATTAAATGGTGATTTGCTATGTAAAATGGATTTAGGCTGTATAATATCGGTAACTTTTTGTAAATGTTTTTACAGAAATTATTTCAGTTATCTTCCATATCTACACCACGGTATAGGTATTACTGTCATTATTTATGGATAAACTAAGAATGAGAGTTTTAAATTAATTTTCACATTGTCTCATGACAAATGCACTAAAGAGCTGGTACCCAAATTCTGGGTCTTCTATTCCTAATGCTGATTTATTCCATGGTATGTTACAGTACAGTTTAAATAAATTCTTACTTATGTGCCTTAATTCCAGGCAAATCTAAATAATGATTAATGACCTCAGTATGAACATAACTATCATATGAAAAGATAGCTACACACACTTTCTATTTTCCAATTTACAATTTCCTGGCTTATATTAACTAATCATCTTTTGAATATTGATATTACTTACATGTCTTCAGTTTTCTACACTGTTTGGCTTCTATGAATGTATGGGTACTGTGCAACACACTTCTCTCAGCTTTCATGTGCATTCATATTCATATGATTGATGGTGCTTGAAAAAAAATGCACCTTTTATATGAAATTCATTAGTGGAACATTTCCTGGCAGATGGGTATTTCGGATAAATCCCAAGTAGGTTACATTTATCACTTTTGGTCCCCTAGCTGCTTCAGACATGTACTCAGTGAAGGGCACCTGGCTCTTGGCAGAATTCTCCCAGGTGCACATTCATTTCACCCTCCCACTTGACGACTTTAATAACATGTTCCAAATGTTATTACTGCCCTAGCAGTCAACGATCACTCAGGAAAGCAACTCAATCTTGTCACACTTAAATCTAATTTGAAATAATATTGGTAACTGTTTTGTAACTTATTCAATTATTTGGAAATGTTTCTTGTTTCCTGACCAACATACAGTGTTTTCTTAGGTTAAAGCTAATAGATCAGCCTTGGCTACTATTGTCTTCAACTTATTGTTAGACTGAAATTAATACTGGTTTCATTTTATATGAACAATTTTTATAAGATTTTGACTTTATTTAATGCCAGGTGAAATGATAACCAAATGAAATGTAATAAATATTCACATAATATATACCCAGCCAGTTCAATGTCAAAAAAAAATCTGCTGGTGAACAGGCAACACTTGTTGGTTCTGGGTTCAAGTTTTGTTTTTGTCTGTCTGTTTGTTGCTATAGGTCATTCTTTTTATGAATTTGCAGCCCAACATCACATATTTGTTTAGCCTTATTTCTTCAGACTAGTGTACTGCTTCTTTTACAAGCTATACCACACTCTTTTAATTCATTTTAGAGATTGTCCCCAGCTTTTTCCAGATCTCTTCTCCCTAAAGCCTTTATCTCTCTTTATGTCTCTTTGCATCATGTGGACAAAATTAATCACAAACAGAACAATTTCCCAAGCTTCATGTTTGTGTTACTCACATGCCAAGAAATTTTGATAAATACTTTAAAGCTATACACTATATACACCTACTTGTGGACAATACATGTGCACACATGTAGACACGTGTGTATAGGTGTGCACATGTGACCACACACTTATACGTGTACATAAAAGCACACTTGTGTGTACTCACTGCACTGTGTGGGCACTGTACATTTGTGTTCACACATGCCAGTGTGTGAACATACATGTTCGCGTGTGTGCACAAGTCCACCTGTGTGTGCATATGGACATATGTATTGTGTGTGTTGCTTTTGTATGCATGTTTTCACATAATGCTGTGTGTGTGCATGGGTGCACTTTGTGTGTTTGCATTCGTGTGTGTGCACATACATAAATACATGCATGCATAAAAGTGTCTTTTTCTGACTAGAAAGAAATACATTTTCAAGCTATTATGGATAAAGAGGAAAATTTGTCCAAAGAAAGCATCAGTATCTCATGGAACCCAAAGACCGAAAGTACAGCTGTGGTCCACCGCAAGGGAAGAGAAGCACAGAGTTTCTCACATTTTCAACTTGGTATTTCCCCTCCAGAAAATGGACACACACCCACGTGTGTGACTTCCACACTGTCCTGTTTCTACCCCCAAATGACCAAAAGACAGTGTGGTTGACCCAAATCAGAGACCTTTATCTTTCATTTAAACAGCTGTGGCTTGATCAAAGATGTTAACTGACACTGAGGCTAAGTTCCTCTTCCAGCACTGTCTAGATTTAACAAATGCATGCCAAATTTTCTTTTAATTTGTCTATTTTAAATATCTTCCAGGTAGAACATACACATATGCCGATGACTTCTTTCCCAGGTATGTAGAAAAAAAGTCATATATTATGATTCCCAAGCTAAATTGCTTATAAGTTTGGCTCATGCAAGTTGCACTTGGGCTAAAATAAGGTAAAATGTGAGATTTAATTATTTTTCTTCCCATCTGAAGGCTAAAGCTGTAACATTACTACCTTCCCAAGTTACTTACTCATCTTGGCTCTAGTAAAGAGCTGGGTGTAGGACAAGGTGAGACTGGCAGCTGTAGAAATTTTGTCCCATTTCAGAAGGTGCTATCCTTAATTATGACTCATCAGAGTGTAAGAATACCATCTAATTGCATATAAAATTGTGTGGCTTTTACTAGGGTAAAAAGAAATTTGCAATACCTAATACAGTTTAAGGTATGTATGCACACATAACAGGTAAGGATGCTTGGTGTGTGCTGCTCTAAGAGTAATGCCAATCATAGAGAAATTCAGTAAATTAACTCTAAAATAATATGCAGCTACAGAGCTTATTCTCTTTAATAGTAATTGACCTAGTAGCAAAGAAATATGTTTAATGTGATTTTTATTTTTTAAAGATTTATTTATACATGCAGAACTGGGGTACAGGCCAGAGGTGTGGGGCAGTGATAGGATTCACCAGAGACAGAGTGGGGAGCAGAACAGGCAGATCGACGAAGTACACTGCTGAGGGGAGCAGCTGGCGGGTCAGGAGAGGTCTGCCACGCCATGTGGTCACCTCCGGGGCAGGCGGGGATCAAACTCATGCTGCAGTGGCTTTAGCTTCTTAGAGCTGTGCTTTAACCCGCTGCGCCACCAGGGAGGGCCCTAATGTGACTTTTTTTTAATGTAAAAAGAACATAGATGGCATAAAGCATAGTAAAAAAGCTTCATTTTCTTGGACAGTATATACTGACCCAAATGTGTCATTAGATTTGAGATTTCTTTTTTAGGATTAAAAAATCTAAATATAGAGAATTTCCTAGAGGAGTCTTCAAGATCTTTCTGAAATGTTAGGCTGAAAGGTCTTCAGAAACACAGAGCTTTCTCACTGGGTAGGGTAAGATCATAATCACCTTGTTGGCCTCTAAAAAGTCCTTTTAAAAATATTTCTCCATGTGGAAATGTCTGGCAAATTCAGGCTCTGGGTTGGTCCGATCCACAAAACAAAGAAATTTTTATTTTTTGACTCCCTTAGCATCAGATTTTACACCATGAGATAATTTTCAAGTTATTAGCTCATATTAAGAGTGATCTGCTGATTTGGTTGCAACAAGCAGTTTGATAAAGAAACTCCTACATAGCCACATAGAAATTAATTTCTTTAATACTTATCATCCAAAAGGCATTTAAGACTCTGCATGAAGTCTTGTGATTTGATCATCATATGGGGTTGGTGGTTGATGGGAGGAATTATAAGGGAAAACTGGTAAAATGGTCATCTCAAAACAATTTGGCTCTTAGCTATAGGTAAAATGCAGAAAAGTGGTTGGTTCTTTTTTAACACTCACTAATTCAATAAATATTCTTTCAATAGGCATAGTGCTGGACAATAGCAATATAAAGCTAAAAAGATGCAGATCCTCTCCTTGGGCATTTAATAACCTATTGTCTATTGTAATAAGTCTCCATTTAGGCAAAATTTGGAAATGCAATGAAGATTTTATCTATAAAAAGTGACTGGCATGTTAATTCACAAGTTAATGTACATACTTCACAGCTTGTCTATTTTTCTGAATATGTAGTTTAACTAAGATCACCTTTGTAGAGGGCCATAGAGATTCAGGGGAAAATGTAAAACTGTCGCCAGCCATTAAAACTTAAACATTGAAACAGCAAATGGAAATATTTGTCTTCTCCAAGGCTAGAAATTACTTCTGTCTCCCCAGTTCTCAGATGGTTGGAGGCTAGTGGAAGGGACTCCTCCCTTCTTCACAATGGGTTCCTCATTACAATTTCTCCCTGCCCCCTTCAATACTGGTTTAGGTGGGAAAGAAATTTGGAAAAGCTGGAGGGGAAAGAAATTTGCTTTTCTCATTGTTGCTCCCCCAAATCCCTGCCCTTTCTGTGCTGGCAGGTCAGAGGTGTGATCAGAGCAGATCAGAACAGCACAACATCAGTAGCTAGCGGGGTGTCAGATACACAGCCTGCATTTACCTATGGGTCATTTTGTTTTCCCTTTAAAACATAATCCTGCAACATTCTTTCCTTTTATTTAAAAGGATAATGCAGTGGGAAATCATGGCTTTGAAATTTAGATAACCTTGGATTTTAATGGAACTCTTGGAATTACTAGGCTTGAGTCTTGGAAAAATGAGCATTGGGGAACTTCAGTTTTATCATCTGAAAAAAATGGATATTATAATACATTGTTTACGAAAGGTAGCCCATTAAAAATGTTGCTTTACTGGATAAAAATTAAAGTCTAAGAAAATTTCAACCTATTTGAACACTAGTCATCCCCTAACTTAGAAAAGCAGCTCAGATTTACAATAAGCTTATTGTTAACTCTTCAATTTTCACACTCTTTCTGTCGGAAACGTAGGACAAATTCCCAGAAGCTACTGCAAAGTGCGCTCCCAGGTGGTGCTGACAGCTACTTTGATCACAAAACATACATCATCTTAGCTATTCTTCTACCTGGACTTCTGCAGTCTAGAGACCTCCTCCCAATGCTCTTTGCTAAGTGTATTAATCTAGTGCCCTGAACAGGACCTGTAGTCTTATCTGTTCCCTTTATCTCATCTAGAGTGGAGGATTCTTTTTACAATACAATTCCTAGGGTGCCTGCCCTGACATCTCAAAGGTCCAAGTGCAGACAAAACCCTTGCAATGTCTAGGCTTGTAGTCAGGACAAAGCCTTCACTGTGATCACTGCCACACAGGCAACCAGAGAATGTTCATGGTTTCCATTCTTTTGTTTGCTTTTTTATACAAACAACCATAACCAAACTCCAACCCTCTGATTGCAAGGATCCAGCCCCCTTCCTAAGGAATTCTGGGAGCCCTTGAGAAGTCCTTCTAAGTACCGCAAGTTTTATTCTTGGGCCTCGCTTTTATCACCACAGCTCTGCAGCACAGCTCTAAGATTCTTTCCTTACCCATTTACCCCAAATTTCAGCAAAGACCCTTCTTTTTTACTGTTTCATAGCACTGGCAATATAAGCTCTTTATGCTTAGTAGACTTTATCAAGAAATTACTAGAGGGCAACGTGAAACTGATCAGGAAAATAAGAATGCAGGGCCCTTCCTGGTGGTGCAGTGGCTTAAAGAACAGCACTGTGAAGCTATCCATATCCACTATTGCACGAGTTCGATCCCTGGCCAGAAGCTGACCCACATGGTGGGGCAGATCTCTCCTGTCTCACCTGCTGTGCACGTCAGCAGTGTATTTCAGTAGGTCTGCCTGTTCTGTTCCCCAATCTGTCTCTAGTGGGTCCTCACCACCCCCCCCCCCACATCTCTACCATCAATGTAGGGGAAAAAAAAAAAAAAAAATCTCGGGCCTATATCCCAGTTCTGGGATATATCTGGCCTAATCCCAGTATGCATAAATAAATAAATCTTAAAAGAAAAATAGAATGTACTGTTAGATATCATTGCTCTGAGAATCCATTAACCATCCCCTTCACAGGAAAGATTGCTGGTGGTAGCACACCATAGCCACACCAAAACATTGCTCCAGCCCTACATGACATTGCTGAGGCTTACATCTTCCCTAGCCCATGGGATCTCTGGTGTTCTCTCACCCCAGGTTCAAGACACTTACGTTCATGTCACAGTCCCTACCCAAGAAAGTATGAATTTAGTAGGCTTATGTTCCAGCAACTTTGGTTTTCCTATCTTGCATCACTGTTTTTTTATGCTGACTGTATATCATTCTCATCAATATATAGACAGTATTGTCCGATCCCTTAAAAAGATAGAAGTAAGAAAACACCCTGATACTGGCTTCCCCTACAGCCATTCTTCCATTGCTTTGCACACTTTATCACAAAATTTGAAATGTCCATCTACATGGTGCCCATATTTACCACTCCCTCTTTGCTCTTCTTCCTTGAACCTGCTCTAGCCAACCTCTGGTCCTCAATAAACAACTACCTCACCTCTTGTCAAGGTCACCAATGAAATGCACATGGTCAAATCAGTCTCATTTTATATGTTTCTTCCGTAGTTTGGGGCACATTAACAGTTCTTGACACAACTATTTCTCTCAGCTATAGAACACTGTGTCTTGTCTTTGGTTTTCCTCCTCACCTACCAGCATGTTCTACTCCATTGCTCCTTTCTGAGCGTCAGACATCAAAAGTGCCACGATCTCATTCAGTAAACCTTTCGTCTACCTATGCTCATGTCATAATTAATTGCATATGCTCTGGTGGCTTTAAACATTTGTATACTGATGGAGCCCAAACTCCTATTCAATGACATGTCTATTAAGCAAATCAAGTTAACACTTACAAAACCCACTTCCAAAAGACCCCTATGCTTGTTCTTTTATTAATCTGAGGACTGTCTAGCTCCTTAAACAGGTGCATTTAATTTTGTAGAAATGTCTTTCATGTTATTACAACTGTAATAATGTAAAAATGAAAATCAACAAACAATTATAAAACAGAGACATTCTATGGGTGGAGAGGGGAATAAGATCAAAACTGGGGTAGGGAGAACACACGGGACTATGGTGATGGCACACGGGCAAGCTGGTGGTGGGAAGTCCATGGGGAGTACACTGAGATGAAAAATGTACAAAATGAAGAATGATGAAAAAAAAAAAAACTACTTATCATCTATCTATCTGTCTATCTACAGTATTTTTTAAAAAGGAAAAGATGGGGGAAGGGAAATGCACTGGACTATGGTGATGGCACATGGGTGATTTGGTGATGAGAAGCCCACAGGGATTACAACTGAGATGGAAAAAGGCACAAAATGATGTAAAAATAAGCTATTGTATGAAGTGAAAAAAAGAAAAGAAAAAGAAAAGCATGGGTCCAAGTTGCTTTGTCAATTATATGGCCTTGTAAATAAAATTAAATTGTCCTTGGCGATGTAAAAAAAAAAAAAAAAAAAGGAAGGAAGGAAGAAATGGACAGATATTAGGTGCTAGAAAGAACATTAAGGATTAAATAGCTTAATATCCTCATTTTATAAAGAAGAGAAGTAAAACTCAGAGGATTTATGTTCAAGGTCACTGAGGCAGAAGTAATGATTATTTTTTAAAGTTTAATTAACTAATGTAATGTATTTAGAGAACAAAGTACATAAGCATTTTTTAAAAGGAATTTACAATAAAATGATGAAACATGTTAAACCTTAAAAATCAGGAACTAGAAACACAATGAGAGTAGAAAATTTGAACCTTAGTGAAATATACAATTAGTATTATTTAAAATTCTGGAGTGTCAGTAACTGTACTGATCCATCAGAGCACTACTTCAGGCATGTTCAAAGCAATGGCGATTCTGATCTGACTCCACACTCAGAGCTGTACTAGTCTCTGGGCGATGGGCTCATTTATTACTTTATTTTAAAAGTAATTAATCTTCTCTATAAAACACAGCCAAACATTTGTGCTTGATGTTTATTAGATATTTGCAATAGGCTGATGCTATTTGGTACTGCTAAGTAAAAGTATATTTTTTAATTTGTTGGTTAGGAAACTGCTCCTGAATAATGGCTTATTTGAGATGATTAATCATTTGCGACCTGCCTGCAGACACAGGGCACCGCATTCTAAATCACATCTTATTTCCATTCATAGGGAATGAAATGATGTTCATTTTTTGGACATGATTTATCATTTGCAGGTTGTATATGCTATCAATGTGTGCTAGGAAAATGGATGGATTGTCTTAATAAAAATTCTTCACCTTTTGCTATTATATTCTCAGTATAGTCAGAGAAAAAAAACCATGAGTAGGGAATACTTTGTATTTCAATAATCTGTATTGAATTACTGAAGGAAAGAAAGATTAGGGATGAGTTCATCTGTTATCAGATAAGCAAAATACATGCCAGCATCTAGATTTTTTCAAATCATTTCATCATATAGGTATCATTTGACCTGTTATTTTTTAAAGGGCACCTACTTACTATTTACATATACTGTGTCTTCTTTTAGAAGTTTGGGGAGTAACAAAGTGTTATGCCTTGAGATAAGGGCTATTTTTTCTTTTGATGCAATTCCCTCCAGCTCTCAGTGATAGGCAATATCAAAGTCAAAGCAGTTGGTACTATTATATGAAATGCCATTCTCCTACCTGATGTGTTCCTTCATTCCCAGCCTGCCATTGTGTAAGTTGGTCACCAGGGCTACTGTCACTATCTGAAGACAATGGTAGGATGTCTTCTGTAGTCCAAAATGACTACTCAGATGAAGGAAGCTGCAAGGAATGTTCATCCGACATCAAGAACAAATAGCATTCAGGGCTGCAGGATCAACTCTGCACACTCTAACACTGGCAGTTATTATCTGTGTATCTTTGGACAATTACCTCCATGAATCGCAAATTCTACAAATGTATAATGGGGATAAAATAATGTATATCATAGGGTTGTCTCATGTTGATAAGCACTGGTGTAAAGAAAAGCTTTCATATTACTGATATTATACATAAGGCTAGGGAAAATGTGAATCTCTCTGGATCTCAGACTTCTCATCTGTGAAGGCATAATATTTTTAGATTTTCCCCGAGTCTTTTACATAATGCATGTAAAACACAGCCTGCATCTGACCATAATAGGTGATCAATCATTTTACTGCATCTGCCAAGCTAACTTTCTTTGATTTTATTTTTTTAAGCATCACTACATATTTATATTTTTATAGTAAGCATCATTTTAGGAGAAAAATTAGTGATATTCTGGGCAATTAAAGAGGAAGTACAATACATAGTCAAGAGCACTGATAACTTAGGTATAATACCAACTTTGTCTTATTTCTCTGTCCCTCAGATTCCTTACCAAAAAGCGTAGGTGCTACAGTGCCCAGCTGGTGAGACAGCTGTGAAAATTAGATAAATGAACATATAAATGCACTTAAAATAGCAACTGACAAATAAGAACTAAATATTTGCTACTGCTATTCCCTGATAGAATGTTCAAGAAACAGCTTTTGAAATTCATATGCTGAGATGTATGGAAGCTCACATTCACTCATATGCATGTAAGCATATGTACCTTTTTTGCTCAAGAATGAACAAGAATATACAACACTGAAATTAGCTGATAATATAGTAATGAATAATGAGTAAAATGGATTTTAATGAGGTAAATTGTTTATTTTCTTATAGGGAAGATGAGTATGATATTGAAGATACACCAATTTATGGTAACTTAGAGAATGTGATTCCAGGTAAGTTTTATTTTTCCATAAATTAAGCTTTTAATAAATTAATAACTCCTTTTAATTCAATAAATAATTTGAGGTGCTTTGCTTTTTTTTTTTTCATAATCCTATTAAGATCTCCTAGTGGAAACCATAAATTCAACTATATTTGCCAATTATTTGGTATATATTTCCAAAGCAGCATATTATCAATTATATGGCAACACTCAGTGTAAATAAACATCTGGTTTTCTATATTCTCCTTATTTCACTGTAGGACTAATGAGAATACAGGAAGATTCTAATTACCATGAATTCTGATATGTATAGAGTTCTATGAAATAAAGCTATTTCTAGAAAATGGCCCAGGGAAATAGTACTTTGTGCTCTGTATGTGAAAGGAAGATCCTGGTACTTATCCTGGAGCACTGAACATGTATTCTTCTTTCCCTTATTTTAACTTGTTCTTTTAAAGTAGAGTCTAGAATGATGGCAAGTGAAGGAAGAGATGAACTAAGTTACAGAGTGATAACATGTTTTTGTACTTATCTTAACAAGTACTCTTAACTTCCCTGCATTCTGTATCACTTGAAATATCCTAATCACTAACAACTAAACACCCTGAATTTCTCAGAATAGACAACCATGAACTGATCCCAGTTCTCTGATTAGAGAAGTAATGATGGTATTTAACCTCATTCTTGCTCTGCAAGAACTTCACTTAATCATACAGATGAGCGGGTCAGCTCTGATCACTCTGATTCTGGATCACGAGATTGCCAGTAATGGATTATAGATCAAAAAGTATAGCTCCTATAGTTATGAATGTGATCATTTCATGTTTCAATAATTTACTTGATTTTTATCTTTCCTTTAAGTGTAAATTGACCTCCAATGGCTGCTTTCTGAGGAATCAAAATCCACTTTTTAGGAATATACTATTAAAAGTAATTTGCTGCTTTGTTTTCCCTTGCTGTCCACCTATGATATTTGAGGATGTCATTTCTTATGCCTTCTCCTGGCTCAGAGCCCACCATGTCAGTGATGTGTATAGCTAAGTGAGCACAGGTGTTACCTCCACAGGTTCTGATTTTGCAGGTGCAGGGTAGGACTTAAGGACCTGCTATTTGACAAATCACCCAGGTGATTCTAATGCATTTTTCCATGCTATAAGAAACATCACTCTAGAGCACTGTGTTGCTTCTCAGATGAGCTGAAAAATTATATGGTAACTTGTATTATAGTAAGTGTATTGTTTTTCTTGTGCGGTCAAATTGGACCAATCTAAATTTCTGCCAAGTTACTGGACTCCCTCTAGGACATTCTCCCTTTTTAATAAGTACATCAATGGAAGAGAAGTATAGAGAATTCCGTAAGTCTCCACAAGATGAAATGTGGGTTGCTGGATACTACATTCAAACACCATAACTTAGGAACAGAGTTAAATAGTCTCAGGGTCTCAGAACAGCCTGGCTGGATTTCCATCACTGATTTATGGGACAAAAAAATAATAATCTAAATACTCTTTTTCAAAACTAGGATGTAGAGCTTTAAATGCCTCTTATAAAGATTTAGTCATGGGGAAAAGTCACCAAATTGTAATTATCTCACATGTGCACTTGTCAGTAAGGCTTAAGGCCTTCACCCCATTGCCACCCTCCTCACACAGGAGGCAGCCCAGGCCACCCTCTGACCTGGGCAGCCTGTGCCACCTGATGGAAGCCACAGGCAAACTGTCAGGTCCTGCAACCATACAAAAAAACTCATATGATCTAGTCCTTACCCCAAGTATCTTCTTTTTGCTTAACTGGTAATGCTGCAGGGGAAACTCTCCTTCACTCTCTGATCTCCAAAGAAGAGTCTGTACTTCCTTGCCCTCTGTATTGCCAGGAAAAGACTAGTCATATGATTTGAGGGGTCTTGATATTCATAGGAAAAGGTTGTTTGGGTCATGTGTTTTTATCTGTGTTAGCATTTTTCATTCTTCCAAAGTAAATCATGATCTCTTTAACTTCCAAGAACCAATAGATGAAAACTGCTATGAGCAAATGAAAGCTCGACCAGAGAGACCTGTGAATGAACTGCGACAGGCCACCCAACCTGCACAGGTGAGTTTACATTCTATATCAGGGTCAAGTGTATCTGAGCTCACAGCACAACTTAAGCTTCAAAAGCATAACAGTAGTATATTCTGATGCACACTTGAGGCAGCCTGTTAGAAATTTTGCAGTCTATCAAAGTCAAATATGGGGTCTGAGCTCTAAAGGGTAATTCAAAGGTGAATAAATCATACTCAGAACCACATTCAGAGTCAAAATTGGTCACAATTACAAAGGCAATACATTTTAAGGGCTATTTATTTTGTAAATAACCAATGAAGCTTTTGCTCTCAGAGTGAAAAATTATGTGTACCACAGAGCTGAATATAACAGTTGATGTATGTCTAATACCCACAAGATCTAGATGTCAAGAAATTATAAGGGCTGGGTGGTTGGGGTAGGTAGAAAAATGGGTCACTGGGGTGGGGGGTGGGGAAGAGATAGAGAGAACTTGAGTTATAAGTAAATTGACTGGAGAGGGGGAAAAAAAATCACACCTCTGGCCCTCCCTGGTGGCACAGCGGGTTAAAACACAGCACTAAGAAGCTAAAGCCACTTCCGCATGAGTTCAATCCCTGCCTGCCCCGGAGGTGACCACATGGCGTGGCAGACCTCTCCTGACCCACCCGCTGCTCCCCTCAGCAGTGTACTTCCTCGATCTGCCTGTTCTGCACCCCACTGTCTCTGGTGAATCCTCTCATACTCGGCATCTCTGGCCTATACCCCAGCTCTGTATGAATAAATAAATCTTAAAAAAAAAATCACACCTCACTTACAAAGCAAATATGTGTGAATTTAAATACAAGTCCTATGGTTATGTCTTATGTCAAGAATTACATACAACTTATATGGGATAGCTAAAAGCTGAAACATAAAGACTCAGAAAGAAATAACGTAGTTTCTTTTTCCTATGACAATAAGTTCAGCTCCTCAGATATAGCACTTCCATTCACAATCTCAGCCCACATGCTGCTGATACATTATAAAATTCAGTTAAAATAGTTCTTTTCTTCTCCTTCCAGATCTTGTCCCTTCAATTATGTGCTTTCTAGCTACTTGCTAGAAATAGTAATAGGCCCAGCATTTCCTTCATAGTAGCTATATTGTGTGCTTTATATACATTATCTTCTTAGATTCCTATGAAGAGACAGCATTATTATTCCCACTTGACAGAGGTTTGCAAAGAGATGAAAACTTACCCTAGAGACTCAGATATTAAGTGAGGAGCTAGAACCCAAACTTAGTTCTGTGCAACAGAAAACATTCTCCTCCTTAAGACAGGTCTCATATTGGAAAATTCCCATAATTATATAGGATTTTTTTTTCTATGAGGTTTAAGCATAATGTAAATTTCCTTCGGATGGGCAAATCCATCATCTTATGTTCATTTAATTGTAAAATATGTTTCTATACAAAAGGTGAAAATCTGAGTATCTGTTAAAGTCATGAAAATAGAAATAAAATCTTTCAAAAGTTAAAATGTAACCATACCGGACCCTCCCTGGTGGCGCAACAGGTTAAAGCACAGCACAAAGAAGCTTAAGCCACTTCCGCATGAGTTCGATCCTGCCTGCCCCGAGGAGATCCACATGGTGCAGCAGACCTTTCCTGACCGCCCGCTGCTCCCCTCAGCAGTGTACTTCGTCGATCTGCCTGTTCTGCTCCCTGCTCTGTCTCTGGTGAATCCTCCTCTCACCCTCCTCATCTCTGGCCTGTACCCCAGTTCCGTACGAATAAATAAATAAATCTTTAAAAAATATATATATATATAACCATACCATCTGAAATATAGGGACTAACAGTTAGTTGAAAAAGACCTGAGAAATCCCTCTAAAAGTCACTATGTAATATGTAGGAATTATACAGACCAGCTTCCCATAAACTGCATCAGTTTTTACTCATTTAGAAATTGTGCAAAGCTCTAAAATGTCTTCAAAGCTTATAACTTTGTAATATGTACTTCAAGATACTTGTACAAATTTAGAATAGATTAGAAATAATTGATTTTCACAATTCTGTTTTATTAGAATGATTATTATCACCAAAACTACTAGCCAGTTTACTATTACAATACTTACTTTGCCAAGTATAACAGCATAGGGAATATACAGTAATGTGCAAAAAACAGGATAGATAAAGTGCATGTTAGATGGAGAAATAAATTCCTTGCCCTTTAAGAATGATGTGCATAGTTCACAAAGAGTAATGTAAGTATCTGAAGATCTTAAAGTATCTTAAATAGGAAGAGTTACAGGAAATCTAGTAATAAAATGAGGCCACAAGATTTGAATATTTAAGTTACACAAGTGGGAGTTTATTGCTCTTCTCTTGTCTCCATATCAAAATCTCAAATCAGCCTCTTTCCCTCCTGTATCAGAATCATCCTCTCCTTTTCTTTTTCTTTTTTTTTTATTTTAAAGATTTACTTATTTATTCATATAGAACTGAGATACAGGCCTGAGATGCGGAGGGTGAGAGGATTCACCAGAGACAGAGTGGGGTACAGAACAGGCAGATCGATGAAGTACACTGCTGAGGGGAGCAGCAGGCGCATCAGGAGAGGCCTGCCACACCATGTGGTCACCTCCAGGTCAGGCGAGGATCAAACTCATGATGAAATGGCTTTATCTTCTTAGTGCTGTGCTTCAACCCTCTGCGCCACCAGGGAGGGCCCATCCTCTCCTTTTTCAAAGCCATTACTACTACTTATATACTTTACCATTTCTCCTATTTCTTTCAAGATATTGCATCTTCAGATATTTTTCTCCACTTTCTATTTTTTCTTTAAATGAATTATTACAATTGATCTATAAATACACACAGATCTCCCCAACATTTTAAAAACAAAAGCACACAACTTTGCTGTGGCCTGTTTTCTCTCTAATTCCTGAATTGATTCTTACTTTCCCTTACTCCATTTCTTTCCACAGATAAACATTCTTTTATACCTACCTATATATTTTCTACTTATCTTCTCAGCTGAAAACACTCTGGAAGTCGTGAATGACTATACATGCATAATATAGGGTCTTTCTTGAGACCTATTTTGTTTGAACTCTCCAACTCTTGATAAAGTTGACTGATTGTTGGCCAGATACACAGTATTTGGAAAGCTTTTAGTTTAAAGTGCAGTAACCCACCCAAACTACATTGGCATTAAAGGAGAATTACTTATTTTTATAACTGAGATGTGTAAGGTTATACTTTGGCTTTGAGGTGACTGAATATGAAGACCTCCATTTCTCTTCCCTGATTCTGTTACTGATTTCAATCTCTCCTATACCAGCATATTGTTTCACTGAGGCTGGACAAACCACTGGCAGATTCAGTGCCAGTGAATTGCTCCAAAATTTCAGGAAAAGAAATCTTTCCAATTCCAAATAGGCCATACAACTGGCTCTTCTGAAATCACATGCACATTCTTAGGCTAACTTCTGCTGCCAGGGAGATGTGACTGGGTCCAGCCTAGATCACATGTTTAGTAGTGTACCAAGCTTCAGAGAAAGCAGTGTTATTGCTTGACTCTACAGGAGCAAAGAAGGACATTTTCCCAAAGGGAAACTGGAGAATTTATTAAAAACAAAACAAAACAAAACAAAAAGGATAGTACTAAATTCTGGACAAACAGAAAGACAGCCACTACTTCTTATTGCTGAATGTCTTCTAGTTATTTTTGAACTTCACTGACATTTCCTTCTCTGTCTGGGCAGAGGCAAAGCAGTAAAAAAGCACAAAGTGTGTACAGTTATCAATGCACAGTCTAGTTTACCTGAAATATAGAACTTATACTGGGGTCCCCTAGGGATCAAAATTACAAAGGTAAAGAACAACCATGGAGAACCTGAATATCAGGTCATAAAATTCAGATTTTAGTCTATAGCCTAGAATTTTGTAGACAGGATGGTGAAATATGAAACACTGTGCCTTAGAAGTATAATTTAGAAATAATATATAAGCTACTTGGCTAAGGGAAAAGACTAGAGCAAAGATACTAGGTAGGTAGCTATTGTAGTTTCCCAGAAGTGATTATGTCAGGAATATAAGGTCAAGCAAAGATAGCAGAGGTTGTAAATAGTGTCTTCTCTTCTGCCTGGTAGACCATATAACACATTTAACTGCTACCGTGAAAATGAATGCCAAAGTGGGGATGATGTGTGGATGCATCAGGGTTTTTGTTAATGCAAATGTTGCTTCCTTACTCCCACAAATTGCTCTAATTTTTGCCTATTCCAAAGATAATAATATAGAAATGTTGCTTTATTCTATGGATGCCTCAAAGTTTTAGCCTTCAATTTCTGTAATCATAATACTACCTTACTTTTACATAATGGCTATAGTAGCCATATATCTTATATCTATTGTTTACTAGTAGCACAATGAGAGAGATACTCACATTTCATAAACAAGAAAGTCGAGGCTCAAAATAGTTTTAAAAAACAGTTTAAGCTCCTGGCCCTCCTTGGTGGTGCAGTGGGTTAAAGCACAGCACTAAGAAGTCAAAGCCACTTCCACATGAGTTCGATCCCCACCTGCCCCGGAGGTGACCACATGGCGTGGCAGACCTCTCCTGACCCGCCCGCTGCTCCCCTCAGCAGTGTACTTCGTCGATCTGCCTGTTCTGCTCCCCGCTCTGTCTCTGGTGAATCCTCTCACCCTCCGCATCTCTGGCCTGTACCCCAGTTCTGTATGAATAAATAAATAAATCTTTAAAAAAAAAAAAAAACAGTTTAAGCTCCAGTAAGCTGTAGACTGCAAAGCTGGGATTCTCTCCCAGGCTTCCCAAGACCACCTTCAAGCCCTTGCCTTTGAGTCTTGTTTCCCCAGATTTCCTTAGTTTCCTGTCCTGTTTAGTGTAGTTCTGACCCAGTTCTAGGTCAGAGGGGAGTAGCACACCCTCCTCTACCTACTTGTAAAAACGAGTGTCTTCAATAGCAGCCTAAAGTAAACTGAAAAATCTGGGGCAGGCAGTCAAGAAGGAAACAGTAAGGAAAGTTAAGAAAATTAACCATTGTCAAGTGCTAATCATGTAAATGAACACTGCCTTTATACTTCTGATTCTCAAAAATGTAGAACGATCGGAGGCTATGGTGGGTACCAATGATTAGATATAAGTAGAGTAGTGAAAAAAGCCAGAAAGAAAAAGAAAAATACCAGATGGTTTCCCTCAGCAGGAGCATCTAAGGGATAAGGGGGGGGGAAAAAAACACAGGTAATAAAGTCAAAACGAAAAACAATGAACAACTATAAACCAGAGACATTTTTACAGGGATGGAAAGGGGACTAGGATCAAAACTGGGGTGGGAAGAGCACATGGAACTAGGGTCAAACTGGGGTGGGAAGAGCACATGGAACTAGGGTGGTGGCACACGGGCTAGCTGGTGGTGGGAAATCCACAGGGATTACAACCAAGATGAAAAATGTACAAAATGAAGAATGATATAAAAAATAAATAAAAGTAAAATTTTTTAAAAGCTGTGAAAAAAATGGTAGTAGAGTAAACCTTAATTTTCTAAATCCTTTACTATCATGCTTGTTCCAAGCTTAACAAGATAAAGTATTGTTACTTGCTCAAAGCAACATAGGGCAAGGAGCTCCTTGAGGTTCTTGAACTCTAGGAGGAGCTGATAAAAATTCATTGAAAACGTTCATGCCTACATTGAATATAAGAGATGAAAATACACACACACAAATTTCACATAAGACTTTTTTTCCACTCAAAAGGCTTGAGCTGACCATTTTGGTAAAGGAGGTAGCTGAAGCTCAGAAAAGGAGCTTCCTGTTATTCATAGACCTTAGCAATTCCCAGAAGTCATCAGAGTTACCGAACGGGCTAACAAGAAATTAACATGCCTTTCTTTTTAGTTAACCAGTGAATCAGAGATGTTCTATGCCTCACTGGACCACAACAATGAGGGGAAGTGCAGGAAGCCCCGGAAGCCCAGGAAACAGAAGACTTCTTTGTCAGACAAGCATGAAGGCAGGCAATTAACATCCAAGAGTGCCAGTATTTCCCAGGCCACTTTGGTAGACAGTGTCCTACCAGAAGGCCAGACAGAGGAGGAAAGCATTCACGATGACCCCATCAGACTGTTTGGACTGATTCGTGCCAATAAAGAACCTACAAATTAGCTGGGCTCTGAGGGGGCTCTTCAATGACATGGTGTTCAAGCAACAAGATTCCCACATGACACGACATGATTTGAGAGGGTGACGGTCTGATTGTTGGTGAGACAGCCCTTACTTCTATTACCTAGGGTGTATGAATAAGCAACCTAAAGTAATTCCATAAGTATGAGTTATTCAAATTAATTAGAATTCACTTAAAAAGCATATATACTGTAAAATGTAAAATAAAATAAAAATTTCAAACTGAGCTTGATAACACAGGCACAACCCCACCAACAATACTCAGGAAAACATAAACAATTTTGTAAGTGTAGTGTTCTAGAAAATGTTGAAAGAAAAGCAAAAGCCACTGAATTTTTTAAAAGAAAACATTTCTCTTTTATCACACTGTAGTAATTGGAAGAAATTTGACTGAAAGGCATAGCAAACTTTAAAATACATTCCTAAGAGAAGTGGATTTTCTTAATATATTTTCCCCCAAATGGAAATATTTTGTTAGTTTTAAAAATTATTATAGAACTGATGCATGCTACTTGTAATAATAAATAAGTGTCAAAAGGAATTCAGAAATCTATCAGAGATATTTACCATGATCAATTTTCTGCATATCCTTCTGGATATTTTTCTGAGCATATCCATATATATAATTTGTTATTTACTTAAAAATCAAAGGGAGGGTCCTCCGTGGTGGCGCAGCGTGTTAAAGCACAGCACTAAGATGCTAAAGCCACTTCAGCATGAGTTCGATCCACCTGGAGTGGCAGACCTCTCCTGACCTGCCCACTGCTCCCCTTAGCAGTGTACTTTGTTCTGCTCCCCACTATGTCTCTGGTGAATCCTCTCACTATCCCTGCACCTCTAGCCTGTACCCCAACTCTATATGTATAATAAATCTTTTTTTAAAAAATCAAATTAAGTGAAAAAAAATTCTAAAAAATTCTTTTCACTTAAAAGATAAGTGAAATTGTAGATTTATTTCCACTGTTATATTTAACTATAACTGAAAAGGGGTGTCATAATATTAATGCCTTCGTAGTATCAAATTGAAGATTATAGCAGAATCTATTTAAATAATTTCAAAAGGTATTTAGTTTAATTTTCAACATGTTTTATGTTTTCATGAATAATATTAGACTATTTCTCCACACATATATGGATACTTGTGTGATACCTGCTTTAGGCTAAATGCCTAGGAAACAAACTACTATTTTAAAAGGTCTGCCTATCATGAGTCTCTGTGGAAAATATTTCTGAGATTGGTCAAATTATATGTTCAGTTTAAATTTTGATAGTGCTCCTAAATTGCCCTCCAAAAAATTACTACAATACTTTGATATCTTCCTGCAGTTTAACTAAATTGCAAGTCTTCACTGACCAAGAAAATCATACATGTCAAATGTCTACTGACGGAAATTTAGTAGACTTTTGTCTTTCATGCTTTGTTGGGCTCTTTCTGTAGTTTGGCCACTAAGTAGACACTTGTACACAACAATGAGTGAAGCAAAGACCCTGAGCCCATGAAACTTACTTAGAGACTACTAGAGAAGATGAGTATTGGCTTGACAAAGAAAAGTGTAGCTACTAGCAATGAAACATCCTATTAAGAAAGCAGAAGAATGAGATGGTAACAGAGGGAAGGCATCTCTGGAGAAGAAATATGAATTCTGAGAAATGAACAAAAGGAAGGAACCACCCAACTAGAGAAGTAGGAAGACTGTTGTTATATACAATTCTGTCCATACTTGGGAAGAAATATTTCAGTCAATAATTATTTTCTTTTATGAACACATAAGAATGTCAATGCCAAAGTATTTAAAGTTTTCTGCAATGTTATAGAAAATACACCAAAATAGTAATAGCTAAGAGAAGAAGCAAAGGAATCAAGTCTCTGATTCTAGAGAAGTGCCAAAGGATGACAGAAATACAATTAATAATCAATTAATGACATTGACTTTCACTTTTAATTTTCAAATTAAAATAAAAATCTTTCCTATCATGTGCACATTATGATACATTCTATATAATTCAGTATTAATTGTATTTTTGGCAGTGACTCTTATTTTTTCCTGTACCTATTTCACATCATTCACTTATATTATTTACCTATCTCCTGGAATATCTGAAGTTTTGCCTAATGGTTTATATCATTCGAATCCCATTCAATAATATTTTGATTTTTCAGCAATCACAAAAGATAAACTCATAGCATTTATAGCAAACATGAATGGAGCTGGAAGGGATTATGCCTAGTGAAATAGCAAAAAAGAAAAAGAAAATATTGGATGGTTTCACCTACAGGAGGACTGTAAGAGAACCAAGTAAGGGATCAGGCATATATGTATATATATATATAATAAGTTAAAAAAACAAAATCAACAGGCAACTGTAAATCAGAGACACTCTGTAAGGGAGGGAGAGGGAGAGAGGAGGGAAGAGTACAGGGACTGTGGTGCTGGAGCAACAGGAATTGGTGGTAGGGATTATAGGAGAACTACACAGGAGAAAGCATGCATTGCACAAAAAGAATAATGTAAAATGTATATAGAATTAAAAAAATGAAATACAATGAAAAATATTATTTTGAGTTCTATGCATCAAAATATCTGACAGCTGATATATGGGGAGATTTTTAGTTACAGATTCAAATTTTTTAAAGTCATCTACTTCCTGGTGAGTAAATTTGATAGTTTGTGTTTTCTAAGGAATTTGTCTTTCTCACCTAAGTTATTAAATTTTTTGGCATAAATTTGTTACAAATATTCCCATGTTATTTATCCTTTTAATATTTGTGGATTTGCTAGTTATTTCACCTCTCTTGGGGATTTGCATCTTTTCCTTCACCTTCCATTCTGTCCAATTGTAAGTTACAAACTTTATGGGCTTCCTCAAAGAAAATGTTGCAGTTCACATATATCTTCTATTGTTTCTAATTTTCTTTTTAAATAATTTAAACCTCTGATCTATAGTAAATTCGTTCTTATGCTTGTTTGTGCTTTATTTGTTTTTTAGCTTTAAGGTAGAAGCAGGGATCATTAACATGAGACTTTTCCCCTTGTCTAAAAAAAGCATTTAGTTTAATAAATGTTTCTCTTTAAAAGTAATTGCTTTGCTTTGTTTTGGCCCACAAATTTTGTGTTTTCATATTCATTCATGTCAAATACTTCCAGATTCTCTTGATGTCTTTGATTTGTGGGTTAATTAGAAGCTTGTTATTTAATTTCCAAATGTTTGGAGGTTTTCTCTTATTTCTTTGTTATTGATTTCCAATTTAATTCCTTCGTGGTCAGGAAGCATATGACTTGAATCCTTTTAAATTTATTGAGCCCTCCTTTATTATCCAAAATATGATTTATCTTGGTAGGTGATAATGTAAACCTGAAAAAGAAATGTGTACTTACTGTTGTTGGGAAGGGTATTCTATACATTTCAATTTAGTTGGTAAAAGCTTCAAGTCCTTATCAAACTCACTGGTTTTGCCTATTTATTATAGCAGTTATTGAGAGGTTAATGTTGAAATCTCTGACTATAACTATACATTTCATCTATTTTTCCATGCCATCCTACCAGTTTTTGAAGTTCTAATATTAATATGAAACCATATGCAGCCATTGCAACTCAAGTTCAATTCCCTACCAGGGAGGTGATCCACATGATGTGGCAGACCTCTCCTGACCTGCCTGCTGCTCCCCTCAGCAGTAAGTCAGTAGATCTGCTTGTTCTGCTCCCCACTCTGTCTCTGGTGAATCCTCTCATTCATCCCCCCCACCTCTGGCCTGTATCCCAGTTATATGCATAAATAAATAAATAAATAAATAAATCTTTAAAATGAAATTTTATAGACAGAATATATTTACTTTTTCCTTTTTAAGTCAATCTGAAAAATGCTGCATTTAATTGGGGTGGGGTTTCTGGACCTTTTTGTACTTTTTGTTTGTTTTTATGTGAAAAGATGTTCACTCTTATTTGGAGACATGGAAATGCAAATTATGACTACAATGAGATACCTTAACTCTACCTATTGAATTATCAAATATTTTCTTTGACATCATTTTATGTCAAATATCCACTAAAATATGGAATGTCAGATGCTTCTCTTTGCTGCTGGTTGGAGGTAAATTGGCACAACATTTTTTGGACATTTGGCATACATTTCATTCCCCATGTCTGTTCCTAGGTTCACAGTTTCGAGAAACAATTATACAGATGAACCAAAAGATGGTTCTAAAAAGTACTAGACAATTTTCATGTAATGCAATTACTGATATGAATGTGTTGAAAACAAAACCAGAGATATCGCATCCACCTACTCATTTTTTCCTTTGTATGACTTTCTAGATTATATCAGTATTTTTTCTGATTCTATTTTATCTTCAATATTGGGTAGTAAGTTTATGCTGTGCCATTTTAGTGAATCCCACTAAAATGCCATTATTGATGAAATGCATTGCCTATGTCAGAATTTATAAGCTTGATTAATTTACCACAGTTTACATTCAAGTGATACAAGCCTTTTTGTACAGGAACCTTAAAGTAGTGTACTTCTAATTCTTTATATATATATATGTATATATATATTCTTT